GGGTATGTGTGTGTATGTGTGAGATATGTGTGGGATGTGTGTTGTGTGTGTGATATGTGTGATGTATGGGTGGGATGTGTGGTGTCTATGATGTATGTATTATATGCACAGTGTGTGTGGTGTGGGATGCATGTTGTGTTTATATGTGCATGATGTGTGTGTGTGTAAAGGAGAACCTTCCATGGCACTCTGGCTGGCATAGGATATTCAAATTTTGTTTATACCCCAGGTACCCGGTATAGCTCCATCTCTACCTTCCGAAGCAGTAGTTGGGAGAACAGGGACAATAGGGGACACTCAGTCAGTCTCTCGGCACATATTTATTGAATCTCTACCTCAAATCAAAGATGTCCACTCTGCATTAATTTTCATGTATGGCGTTCGGTCGGGGTCCAACGTCATTCTTTTGCATGTGGACACCCAGTTGTCCCAACACCCCATGTTGGAAAGAGTGTTATTTCCCCATTGAATCGTTTTGGCCCCCATGTTGAAAATCATTTGACATATATTCAAAGGTTTATTTTGGGGCTCTCTTTTCTATTCCATCGGTCTATATATTTGTCTTTATGCCAGGATCACATTATCTTGTACGTTTTAAAATCAGGAAGTGTGTGGGGCACCTGGGTGCCTCAGTCATTAAGCATCTGCCTTCGCCTCAGGTCATGATCCGAGATCGAGCCCAGCATCGGGCTCCCCGCTCAGCGGGAAGCCTGCTTCTCCCTCTCCCACTCCCCCTGCTTGTGTTCCTGCTCTCACTATCTCTCTGTCAAATAAATAAAATCTTGTTTAAAAAATTTTTAAAAAATCAAGAAGTGCGAGTCCTCCAGTTTTGTTCTCTTTCGGGATTTTTTTTTTTTTTTTTTTTTTTTTTGGCAGTTCAGGGTCCCTTGAGGTTCCATACGAATTTTAAAATGGATTTTTTTCAATTTTTACAGAAAACGTTGGGATTTTAATAGGGATTGGTTTGAATCTGTAGATCACTCTGGGTGGTATTGACATCTTAATCCATGAACAAAAAGTGGCTTTCCTGGGGCACCTGGGGGGCTCAGTCAGCTAAGCATCTGCCTTCCGCTCAGGTCATGATCTCTGGTCCTGGGATTTCGAGCCCTCTGCGGGGAGCCTGCTTCTTCCCCTCCCCTCCCCCTGCTTGTGAGTTCTCTCTCTCAAATAAATATAATCTTAAAAAAAAAAAAAAGAAGTGGCTTTCCAGGTATGAGTGTCTTCTTTAACATCTCTCAGCAACATTTTGCAGGGTTTTTTAAAATTTTTTTATTTTTTTGCAGGTTTTTTTTTAAAGTTTTTTTTTATTTATGAGAGAGTGCGCATGAGCAGGGGGAGGGGCAGAGAGAGAAGGAGAAGCAGACTCCCCGCTGAGAGGAGGGAGCCTGATTTCAGGTTCGATCCCAGGACCCTGGGATCGTGACCTGAGCCAAAGGCAGATGCTTCACCGACTGAACCACCCATGTGCCCCCCTCTTGAAGGTTTCATCATATAAATTTTTCACCTCCTTGGTTAAAGTATTTTATTCCTTTGTATTCTTTTGATGCTGTTGTAAATTGTCTTAACTTCTTTTTAAGGTTGTTCATTATAGAAACACAGCCAATTTTTGTGTTGATTTTCCATCCTGCAACTTTGCTAAGTGTATTAGTTCTAACAGGATTTTTTTTTTTTTTTTTGGTGGAAAGGGAAAGTTTTTTAATTTTCCAGTTGAAGAGGAAAGCGATGGATCTTAAACAGCAATGTAAATCTTCTACCCACCGGAGTCTCGGCAGGAACACGCTGGGTAAATGACTTTCGTGGAGAACTGAGCTGAAGGATGCCTAGGTTTTCCATTCTCCTGGGTAATCTATATGTTGTCCTTAAGCCTGATCATAAAGGAGGGTCTCTGTATAGAGCCCCTCGTGTGTAGCCACTCTATTTTTTTAAAGATTTTATTTATGTATTTATTTGACAGAGACACAGCGAGAGAGGGAACACAAGCAGGGGGAGTGGGAGAGGGAGAAGCAGGCTTCCCGTCAAGCAGGGAGCCCGGTGTTGGGCTCGATCCTAGGACCTTGGGATCATGACCTGAGCCGAAGGCAGGTGCTTAACGACTGAGCCACCCAGGAGCCCCTCTTGGATTATTTTTGCTTACATGTTTATAATGCATTATTTACTTAGGTTGAACATGCAGTACACTCCTGTGGTACAAAATACAGAAGGTACAAAAGGCTATATAATGAAAGGCAGTCTCTTACTTTTATCACCCTCCACCCGGTTCCCATCCCCAGAATCAGTGGCTTCTTGAGATTCCTCCCACCAGAAATGACCTAGGGTGTATACAAGCATTTAAGTGTAGACACTCTTTTTTTTTTCTTTTCTTTTTTTTTTTCCACTTATAGGCATTATTCTACCACTTGCTTTTTTCCACTTCCCAATATATCTTGGTGATTATTTTGTATGAGTACCTAAATTGCTCCTCTTTCTTTTTCCTTTTTAAAAATTTTATTTATTTGTGTGAGAGAAAGAGAGAGAGAGAGAGCACAAGGAGGCGGAGCAGCAAGCAGAGGGAGAGGGAGAAGCAGGCTCCCTGCTGAACAGAGAGCCAGACGTGGGGCTCGATCCCAGGACCCTAAGATTGTGACCTGAGCTGAAGGCAGACGTCTAACTGACTGAGCCACCCAAGTGCCCCGCTCCTCTTCCTTTTTAATAGCTGTGTAGTATTCCATCACATGTCTGTACCTTAATGTGTTTGATGGACATTGAGGTTGTCTCCAATTTCTGATATTACAGAACAATTATTAGGATTACTCATGAATGGCATTTCAGTGCCATAGTTCATCCTAAGGAACATTCTGAGAAATGGCTGTTACTGTCTCTGTGGTCGAGGTGCCCTTGAGAGCATCCATTGCCTTCTTCGTCTGGGGTCATCTTTAGGTGGACAGTGGAGGAATTCCTCCCAAGTTTCTGTACCAGGATTAAGGTGATGCTTCTGAGTTCTGGGTTTTTTCCGTCTTGTACACTCTGGTTCATGTACTGGATTGTTGGTACCTCTTAGCTTTGGCCGCTAAGGTTCTCAGAACCGAGTGTCTGGGCCTTGTTAGCAACTAACTGTACAGAACTACTCATTATCCATTCGTGGATACTAATCTTACTCCTACTTCCATTATTTTCCCTCCCTTTACTTTCCTTTCACTTCAGTTCCCAAAGCTATTTGTTTTATTCCTTGACATTGCACACATTTTTGCAAACCATCTCAAGTTCTTTATGTAACAAAGTGGTATAAATAAACATAAACCTAAATATATTCATCATACATAAATACGAATTTGGGTCGAGCACCTAGAAGCAGCCTTGACTTCTCTTCAGCCACCCAGGCTAGTGTGGTCTGCAGACCTCCCCTCCCCTCCCCGAGCCTCTGTAGGTAGGGTCCCCCAGCTGTCCTGCTTCGACCAGTTCCCATGGCCCAGGAGCCCTACTCCAGCAGTTACACTAGTCCATCAGAATGCTCCCAGGCCCTGTTGTCTCGGGCAAAGGCTGAAGAGAAAACCTGACTCTCACACTCCATAAACTCTTTCCTGGAGCAGGGAAGGAGGAGAAAATTCCCGGTGGCTGCACCCTGCCTCGCGTCAGGGGCTGCTCTGGGGTCCTGCTACGCAGGCGTTCCTCTTCCCCACGAGTCTCTCAGCTGCCTGCCCACATCACACCACCCACCAGCGTTCTCTTGCCTCAATGTGAGAAAGCAATTTGCATCCAACCAGCAGGATTAAATAAGATAGATGGAGGTAGCCTGCTTTCTCATCTCAGAAACCCCTTTCATCTTGCAAAGGCCTCCGTGCAGATAGAGCGGTTTTGTTTTAATGTGGCCCCTGCAGGCTGAGTTTCAGGTTTGGGGTTGATCGGCCTTAGAGAGGCCGGGTGAGTGACCAGCTTGGGAACACTGCAGTCTATGGAGAAACACGCTTGGGCTCCTCCTGAGTGGTCTCTAGCTCCTGCACAGGACTGCTGTTCTAAGTCAGAGGAAGGGAGGGAGGACCAGGTCTGTTTGCAATACCTGGGGTGGGCATGGGACACCTGAGCAGCGCTATGGGAAATGGGATTCAGGGGTTCAGGACTCAGAGAGACATCCAGGGTGCTGCTCTCCCAGCGCTTCTCTGCTTGGGCCTTTTCCAGAGCTGAGTTTGATCTTTGTAATCATCAGCATCTTTACCTACACAATGGGCTTTTAATATGACTGGGCTCACAGAGTGGTTGAGGATAAGTCATAATAGCTCTTATTACATACCACCCGTCATTGTAAGTGCTTTACATACAAGTAACTCCTTTAGTCCTTATAGCACTCTTGGTTATTATTATCCCCATTTATCAGGGGAGGAAACTGACGCTCTGAGAGCTTAAGTAATTTGCCCAAGTTCACATAGCTCGTGAGTGACAGAGCAGAGATGTGAACCGGGGTAATCTGGCCCCAGAGTCTGTGCCCTTAAGCACTAGGACTCTGAGACTTGTCTGCAAAGGTCCTGGGGCAGTTCCTGGCATGGTGGGGGAATGGTGTCCAAGCCTCTCAGCCAGTTTCCTGGCTGACCTGGGAGGTGAGTTCTAGCAGAGGTGATCTAGGTGATTCTCTGGCAGCCCTACATACCCCTTCCCCAGGTTGGCCGCCCTTCTGGCACATCTGGGGTGTAACTCCATCTATGTACTTAGCACCTTGGGCTTGGGTTAAGATTCTCTGTAGCTCTGTCTTCCCTCTCCTCTGCCAGCAACTCTTCCCTCACATATCCCAGCACTTAACACAGTTCTTGATAGATAATAGGTGTTTAAGGTTTACTTAAAGATTGTTTCTTCTTTGTTTTGCACTGGGCCCCTGAGAGTTCCCTGGGAGGTGACCTTGTCCTCCCGGAGGCCTGGGTCAGAGACGTCCCTTTCTAATCTATCCTTCTGCTTTGTCTGCTCGTGTCTCAAGCAGGCGGTGTCAGGGGCCCTTTAAAAATATCTTTATAATTGTTATTGTTTTGCAGCACAAGAGCAAATTATGCCTTTAAAAAAGGAAGGTGAACATTACAGGAATTTTGAAAATGAAAGTCCTCCCTAGTCTTGCTATTCCAAGTGTGGTTCCCGGCTTGGCCTCACCTGCAGGGTCTCAGACCACTCCCACCCTGACCTGCTGAATCAGATCCTGCATTTAACAGGATCCCACGGACTCAAGCCACCTGGAAGTATGAAGAGCTGGCAGCAACCCTCCTTCGCCCTGACCCCAGCCAAGACAACAAGTGTCACCAGGTTTGTGTGCATGAGAGCCTTTTAAAAAGCACACTCTTCTAACCTCTCAGCAATTATCTGCAATTTTCTAACCTCATCTAAAGCCAAAATGCTCGTCAAAGTCATCCAGCAGGAAGCTAATAAAGACCTCATTATCTAGTCTGTCTGCTTCCACTCCTGCCCCCTCTCCGACCCATTCCCCCACCCCCAGCAACCATGGTGATCTTTTTAAAACATAAATTAGATCATGTCACTCTTTGGCTTAGAATCCCGTGGTGCCTTTCCATTGCCCTAGGAACTGGGAACGCACCCCAGCCTCCTCGCTGCCAGTCCCCCCCACACACACTCTCCTTTCCACCCTCAGTCCTGACACACTGGCCTTCCCTCTCGTCTGGCTCCAGGTCTTTGCAGCCTCTGCTCCTGTGCCCAGGTGCCCTTTCTCCCTCCCCTGGCTGGCTCCTGTTCAAGCTTCAGGTCTCAGCTTACATGTCACCTTCTCAGAGATGTGAGCGGAGATGGGGTAAGCAGCTCCTGCCTGCCAGTACTCTCCGTGATGTCCCCAGCTGTGGTCGGGACAGCCTCCCATAGGAGTGTGAACCCCAGGAGGACAGGGACCGTGCTTGTGCTGGCTCTCCCTCAGACTTCACACAGCGCCGGTAGGTAGGACGTTAACCCTCAATAAACAGCTGTTGACTTGCAGTAGCTTCCTGGAGATCAGGTATATTAACATCATCGCAACTGGATCGCCACTGGTTTACAGGTTTGTTGAAGTCACAGAAATAATAGATGCTAATTATATAGGTTTTAAAACTAGAGGGAGGAAAAAAATGAAAACTAACATCCTTTTTTTCCTCGATTTCCTTCCCACCACAAAAGTAACCACTGGTAACAGTTGGTTTTGTCTCCTTCCCAAATTGCATTGCCCCCCCCCCCCCCCACACACACAAGATTGTGATAACAGTATTGATTCTATTCTGCAACTTGGTTTTCTTTATATTGTGGTAAAATACAGAGGCACCTGGGTGGCTCAGTCCGTGGAGCATCCAACTCTTGATTTTGGCTCAGGTCATGATTTCAGGGTCATGAGATAGAACCCTGAGTTGGGCTCCCCACTCAGCGCCGAGTCTGCTTGAGGTTCTCTCCCTCTCCCCCTCCCCCTGCTCGTGTGCGTGCTCTAAATAAATAAGTAAATAGAATCTTTTTAAAAATATTGTAAAATATGCAAACATGAAATTTACTGTCTTAACTGGGTTTGTTGTTTTTTTTTTTAGATTTTATTTATTTAAGAGAGAGCAAGCATGAGCAGGGTGAGGGTCAGAGGGAGAAGCAGACTCCCCTCTGAGCAGGGAGCTCAGTGCGGGACTCGATCCCAGGACCCCGGGATCATGACCTGAGCCCAAGGCAGACGCTTAACCAACTGAGCCACCCACCTGTCTTAACCATTCTTAAGTTTACGGTTCAGTAGTGCTTATGTATGTGGCTTATAACTGATCTCCAGAACTTTTTCATCTTACAAAACTGAAGCTATACATCTATTTTCTTTTAGATTTTTTTTAAAGATTTTATTTATTTATTGGACAGACACAGCGAGAGAGGGAACACAAGCAGGGGGAGTGGGAGAGGGAGAAGCAGGCCTCCTGAGGATCAGGAAGCCCGATGTGGCGTTCGATCCCAGGACCCTGGGATCATGACCTGAGCCGAAGACAGATGATCAATGACTGAGCCACCCAGGGACCCCTTTTAGATTTTATTTTTAAGTAATCTCTACACCCCGTGTGGGGCTCGAACTCACGACAACGAGATCAAGAGTGGCTCGCTCCACCAACTGAGCCAGCCAGGTACCCCTGAAGCCAGACACCTATTAAAACAATTCCCCATTTCCCCCTCCCCCAGTTTCTGGCAACCGCCACTATTCTACTTTCTGTTTCCTTGAGTTTGAACAACTTGCTTTTTGAACTGAATCTGTCTTCCCATGTGGGCTGGTGGGATCTAGCCCATTACTTCTACAGCTGCCCAGTATTCCACAGGAGCTGCAGCTCATATTTAACCAGCCCCCTCTCAGTGAGATGGAGGTGGTTTCCAATTTTCTGCTATTACAGAAAAGCTACAGTGCCATGGTGAAGTCCCGGGACAGCGAGGTCAGAGAGGATGTACTTCCATTTTGCCAAACTGCTGCCCAAAGAAGTTGTACCAGTTACCCTCCCACCCACAGAAGATGAGAGGGCTGCTCTCCGCTTCTTCCCAGTGTCAACCAAGTAAATCCTATGGTCCCATCCCAGGGACTGGAGGGGCCGGCTTTGGAAGGAGGCTCAGTGGCTCCCTTCCGTGGTGGTTTCCCTGGGGAGAAGCCTGGTGCGTTTGGCTGGTGGCGAGATGGGAATCCAGCTGCTAGAGGTAGACACAGGAGGAAGTCTAATTCAAAAGCCATATCATGAGTGGACTTGGGAAGGAGCTCGTTGCTGTGGCAACCTGATTCCCCTGCTGCCAAAAGCGGGTTTTCTTCTTTCTTCTGCACCTGGCAGGAGCTCCTTTCCTCTCAAGATTTCTTGAGAAAGAAAGAGTTTGACATTCTTTTATTGAGGTTAGTGCACATTTGCAGACTGGGACCACCCTGTCACTGACAAAGTGTGATTCTCCGGTGTCCCCTGGAGGCAAGGAACTGGCTGAGCCCCATTCTCGTGGTGCATGGATGCACCTGGGTCTCTTGCCTCAAACACCGAAGTGAGTGATGGACCCCACCAACCTGCACTGTGTTTACTGATACTCCCCAGGGTGGCAGGTGGGCCGAGCTCCCAAGGAGACTGCTATGTTCCCTTCACAAGAAAAGGTTTTCTAGATTTTGGTGGGGTTTTTTTTAAGTGTGCCAAAGGTCAAGGTCAGGGAAGCCTGCTTGAGCAGGCCTCTTAAACCAGTCCCTGGTTTAAATCACTTTGCTCTGCTTTCTCAGGGCATTTAACTTTGAAAACGCTGATTGGAACAGAGCAGAATTAAACTGTTTTGAACTGTTTCCCCCATATCAGCCTCTGTGCTAGGCACACTGTGAGCATGCCCTCGTCTAATCCTTTAACTCTCAGTAAGGTGGGAATTATTATCCCCATTGTTCTAAGAATGAAATTTGAGGCTCCAGAGCTTAAGTTATTTGCCCAAGATCTCAATGCAGAAATTAGGAATCCGGCCCTACCTGGGTCTCAAGGTCACGTTCCCCACCCCCACCAGTAGATAACTTGAAGCCGGCAAAGAGGTCTGTGGGGACTTGATCCACCAGCTTCACCTGCTCCCCTCACCTGATGGTCCCCACTTCCCTCCCTAATCAGGCAGTGAGCTGTGGTGGGGAAAACATGGGGGTGTGGAGGTTTGAGTCCATACTAGGTTTGAATCCATACTAGCTGTGGATCCTGACCTTGTCTGAACCCCAGCCTCAAAACAGAAATATGGGAAACCGGCCCTCTGGGTTTTGTCTGTCTGTTTTTTATAAGAACACTTAGCGCTGTGGGGAGGATTCAGTGAACCGAGAAGGAAGGATCCCGTGACATGACTCTTCTGTTAAACTCAAAATAGCCCAGATCTGCCCCCAGCGGCTTGGGAGCCATTTCTACTTTCTCTTACACAGTCTCTCCTGTGGGAAGGTGCTTCCCTAGCCTCCAGGGTATATGACAGTATTGATTTGTACCCTTGAATTTGATTTTTCTACATCCTATCCCAGCAGCAACCATCCCTGGAGCCATTCCCAGGAGAATCTTGTCTCACTCATACACACAGTCTCCACCTTCCAGGCCGGCAAGCCACCCTTTCCCCATAAGCACACCACACCCCCTCCAGCAGGCCTCTGAAATGTTGCCCTGGGCGTGCTGTGCTTCCCAGCCTTGGGAGCACGGTCTGGGTGACCGGTGGCCTGGGTAGCAGGGGCACACATTCAAGGAAAAATGCAAAGACAATGTTGCTTTTCTGGTTCCTGTAATTTATCTGATGAGCCCTGCCCCCCCACCCCCACCACTTCGGGAAAGGAGAAAGGAAACCTCATTTGCCAGTGCATGGTGCTACAGTGAACAGAAAAACTTAAGAGAAATGTATTCTGTCACCAAGGCCAGAAAACTGAAATCCAGAAATCCATGTCTCTCTTCTAGCTTCTGGTGTTCCTGGGCTCGCGGACACCTTACTCCAGCCTCTGCCTCAGTCTTCACAGATCTTTCCCTCTGTGTCCCTGTGTCCCTCTCCTTTGCTAAACATCCAAGGACATAGGTCATTGGATTTACAGCCCACCCTACATCAAGAATCTTATCTTGAGACCCTTAACTTAATTACATCTGCAAAGACCGAATTTCCAAATAAGGTCATTTGGAAGTGTTGGGGATGAAGACTTGGTCAGATCTTTTTGGAGGACACTATCCAAACTCATGACACGCCCTTTTCGGTTCTCAACCTTTTTGCAACATTTGACACTCGTGATCACTTTCTCTTGTAAACTGTCTTTTCCATCTTTTCCTGGAGCCAACCCTACTTTCCTGGCTGGTCCTCCACAAGCTCCTCTATGGCTCCTCTTCTTCCCAGCCCTGAAAGGCTAGCATCCCTAAGATTCTGTCCTGTCCTTGAGTCTTTCTCTTTCAGTCTCCCTCAGGCAATCACAGTCATTCCCAGGGTCTTCGACAAGACACAACAGGATCATCCTGGGATGTATGAGTCCATGGTATTGCAGATTTTAGGACTAGAATGGATCTTTGCCTTTACCATCAGGCAATGGGAAAGGAATATTATAGGGTCAGAGGAGCGGCAAAAAGGAACACAATATTTTGAAATTTCCCTGGTATTGGTGTTCGGATGTATTGGATTGGAGAAGGAGATTAGAAAACTGGGGACCTTTGGGAAGTTTCTGCTGTAATCCAAGTATGTAATGAGGAGGGCTTAGATTAGGATGCGACCGAGAGAGAAGGCAGAAGAGAACTTGTGTTCATCTACTGTGTGCCATTTTATATATGTTTCAAGTCTCACAACAACCCTGCAAGGAATATATTCTTACCTCCATTTTAGAGATTAAAAAGCTCAGAGAGGTTAAGTGATTTATTCAGGGTCACACAGCAAGTTAATGGCCATGCTGGGGTATAAATCCATGTGTCTCTGAGTCTAGAAGTTAGATGGAAGGAATGAATCTGTGAAATAATATAAGGCATACTGGGACTTCATGATGGAACAGATATAGCGGATGAAAAAGAACAAAGGACATAATGCCCTGGAGAAAAATCGGGGGTGGGGGGAGGATTCTGGAGAGTGAGTGAGTGGTGATGGTAAGTAGCAGGAGGGTAATAAAAATGTGGCTTCCATCATATTGAGTCTGGGATGATAGAGATGCATGTGGACAGATGGGAATCTTGGACTGGGGGTCAGGAAGGGAGACAGGGATTTAAGGCATCAGTAAAAAGGGGCAAGTAATCAACTGGTTAAGGAGATGGAGATGAGGCCGTGACTGGTGACTTGTGGGAGTGCTTTACCTGCTTTCTCTAAAGGGTGTTCCCTCCCCCATTTCCTTCAGGAAGATAGTTGCTTAATTTCTGATTTCTTCCTCTTAACTCCCATTTCCCAAGGAAGGAAGGAGAGTTGGGGAGGCCACCAGAAATAAGCTCCCCAGAAAAGCTCGTGTTGTGTGCAGCCAGGTGAGGCTAGGCAGAAGCCAGCAGTGAGCTGCAGCCGCTCACCTGGCTCC